CGTGTTTTTTTTTTTAAGTTACTGACAATAATGTGATCCTGCAGGCCAAAGGTTTCGAAACTGTAGAATCAACGTGCAGCGATATCAAATTATTCAGGTTTTCAACAATTTTCATTTCCTCTACTTGCGCGTTGAAATTTCATATCGATCGTCTTATTTCGCTTCCTCTCTGGTTAATACTTTCATATGATTTTGTTCAGGAGGGACATGTACTTGTTAAGCGAATCTTTCGGAGACTCGGAAGAAACAATGACGTTACAGGTCAAGTCACCACCGGCGGTGTTGAGCAAGCAGCGGAATATTCCGGTGGCTAAAATGGCGCCCAAGGAGGAGATTGAGGAGTTCTTTGCAATGGCTGAGAAGTACGAGCAAGAACGGTTCGCAGAGAAGTGAGTGCTTGTTTGAGTGGCGCAGGATGAGAGAGAGAGAGGATTGCGCACCGTAGAATTCGAACCTTAACAAACTAACAACTTTCTTCTTCCTTGCAGGTACAACTACGATATTGCTAAAGATATGCCGTTGGATGGCCGGTACCAATGGGTTCGTTTAAATTGAACATCCGCATGATATGAATCAGCCAGAGGGAAAAGGAAATTTTAGAGAAGGACTAGATCAGGGCGAGGAGGCTTAACCTGACACAAGGTAAAACGAAAACTGAATGCAAATTCCGGTCGCTAGCTAGCTCGATTGGGGCTGGTTTTGTACAGCTAACCGCTTTATCTTTATCTATATTGTGGAATAGAAGTCATAGCTTTCTGCGACATTGTCACTGTCACATTGGCACGGCACACCTAAATGGAACTTTCTTTCTGCAAGTGGAATCGCGTAAATCAGAGATGTAGGGATGAGGGGAGAAATCAAATTAATTTGATGTCCGGGTGTTGTTATATTGAACGTCTTTTTCACAGTTTTCAGTAGAGTACAAGAGGCCATTGATTGGGCCAATTCCTAGGGGTGGTTTTATTCACTGGGGCAAACAAATTCATGGATAAAACATTAACTTGTATTATTGATGATTAAGTTGTCTATGAATAATAATGTATGTGTTTTGGAAATTTCTTTTGGTTGTTTCTTCTCAGCCTTTCGCTGCTTCAAATCCTTTATGGGGGAATTCTTTCCATTTAGCCTCATTTTAGAATATTCTGTTCATGCCAAGGCTATGATTCCCCTATTTGGTGGGGACCATGTGCGTTTCGACATAAAGAAATGCCCTCATATATATATACATAAACTAATCAAGTCTTCTCTTCACCGTAAATGATTGAAAGTATATCAGCCTTTGAGCATGCACAAAATTAACAACCCCTCCAACAATGACCCCTCAACCCATAGTCTATATATATATATATAGGGCTACCCTATGTCGTAGGGACTCTATTAAAAATGCCACCATATTGGGTTGTCCGCTAGCTGTGTCCAGATTCTTGGATTATCTGGGTCGTGGCTATAACCATATTCTTGGCTTCCCAATGTCCCTCTTAACTTATCTCAGGAGAATCTTATCTGCTGGGCTTACTTCTGTGTGCTTAATTATTTTTTATGTTACAAAATATTAATGGTTCGGACGTGATGAGGAGAGAGCTATTTAATTTTCATGCCTTGAAAGTTAACTTTCACAGCAGTAATGTTAATTTAATTTAAGCAAACTGCCAAAGGAAATTAACTTTTGTTGCTGTGTCAGTTTTATTTTTCTCTGTGGCGTGATAAAACAAAAGCACGGATGGACGTGACACAATATTCGTTATGAAGGGAAGAAATGAGTGTGAGGAGGGAGAAGAACAAAGTGTGGCAGAAGGCATTGTCGGAAGCTAAAGAAACAGGGTGGCTAGCCCTCCCTGACTAATGTCATCATTACACACGTGTCCAAAACCACCACCACCCTGATCCATGTGACCATGTTCATCAATCATCATCTCCACATTTTAGATAATACTATTGGATTGAAATTGTTGCTGGTCAAAAAAAAAAAAGAATTGGAATTGAATTGAATTCCCAGCCAAAAAAAATGATGAAAGAAGAGGGATCGCACGTGGTATGGTGGAGTAATCGCGGGGGGATTAATTTGCTTTGGATCTGATGCCATTTTTCTTTTTCTGAAAAAGAAAAATTGCAGGGAAGGATGGACAGCTTTACAGGGGGGTTATGGTGGTAGTGGAGAATAATAGGATGTTGCTTGGTAATGAAGAGAAAGGTGATTTGGGTTTTGACGCTTCCTGCCACTTTTTGCTCTTCTTACGAAACCGATTATGAGGCTAACAAGGAATTACTGTGGATGAACGTGTCTTAAAGTATTGTTAATTTTCGTCATATAGCTTTGGTTTAAGCAAACTGATTATAAAACCATTAATCCCAATCCCTATTATTTATGACTCTCATGTCTCGGATTTCAGGACATTTTTACAATTTGTGTGTAGAATGATTCGTATTAATTATATTCCCATTGGCTGCCTGTGAATTGCCGCATATATAGATTCATCAATCTCCTTGACATGCTCGCAAGATTTTTATTTTTATATTTTTGTGCTGCATAAGCTGGATTCCTGTGTTTTGGGATGAGGGCAGAATTTTCTGCCTGCTCTTACAAACATGCCTTAGACGCTGAATTTTGTTTTTCTCTCTGCTTTTTTTTTTGCGAATGATTTAAGGCTTGTTAAATGATGGGCAAGCAGAATTTATAAACTAAAAAAAAAAAATCATATACCACTACTAAAAAATAGGGGTTTTAGCAGTTTCTTTCTATTTTGCCATCCCGTAGCATTTTCAAATTGTCAAGCACTACCTGATATAAATGGTGCTTAAAAAGCATTGCTTTTTATGGAAAAGTTAGCAATTCCTCAACATGAGTCTTGGGTTTCAAATATATGTAAAGCTTTTATAAATAAATACAGATTAACGTGGTAGGGTGCCCTGGCCCCTCCCCCAAATATTTTCTAACAAAATTTATTGATCCAAATAAATTAATATTGAGTCATGTCTCCCTATGTTTTTCAATTCAGTCACAAAACCTGAACTTTGAAAGAAATTTTTTGGTTCCGGTAAAAAAAAAAAAAAAATTTTTTTGTTCTAATTATTTGAAATACAGCGTAAAGTATTTATGAATAAATACACACTAGGGTGCACTGACGCCTCCCACAAACCTATTGGTTCAAAAAATCAACATTAATTGGATTTGATAATTTTATGCGGAGTTTTGGGTTTTAATCATTTTAAATATGAAGTAAACTACATTTACATAAATACACATCAATGCGGGGCATCCTGACCCCTCTTCCAATTTGTTTCTAAAAAAAATTACTACTTCCAGTTTTTAATATAAGAATTCATTTGATTTTTATTTTGGTACTAAATATAAAACCTCAATTCACTTTGCCTCTTATATTTATCTTTTTTTTTTAAGATAGTCTTTGAAATAATAGTAGTTGTAGCCAATAATTAGTAAGGATATTTTAAGAAAGATAACATCTATTTATTACAAATAATTAATTTAACTAGTTTTCTTAATCTACTTAAATTAGTTAACTAACTCTTATATTAAGAACCAGAGGTAGTATAAATCTATGGGTTCAAAAAAAAAATCAACATTAAGTTGTGTTTCTCTGTATTTTTCAATAGAACCACAAAACACACGCTTTAAAAATCATTTTGAATCATTTCAAATATTAAGCAAAGTTTTTGTGAAGGAAAAATTACAATAAGGTCCCATCTAAGAGAATTAAATATAAAAAGTCTCTTGAAATTATCAAATTATTCTGAAGTTCTAAGGGACTTTATCACAATAAATTTTATTTGTTTAATTGCCAAATTATCTTATTTTTTTGCGTAATGTATAAGTTGTTAGTATCTGTTGCGATAATTGTTAATTCTCTTAGAACTAGAGAAATATTGATGAATACATATTAATGGGAGCCGTTCTCACCCATCCGCCATTCTTTTCCCAAAAAACAAAAAATACAGTCATATTGGTTTAGAAAATACCATTGGGCCGTATCTTCCTGTATTTTTCAATTAAAAAAAATGAATCGAGACTTCAAAGAGCTTTTAATCCTAACTTGATACTAAAATTCACAATCAATCTCACTGCATCTTTCATAAAGAACGGCCACAATTTTCCTAATTTTTCTCTCAAAAGGGTTCGAGAATCGCGCAACCCTGTAAGCATTTGACTATTTTCCTTCTTGATCTTTTACATATTTGTTTATCGATCATGTTATTAGCTATTAATGATGTACGAAAAATTAAATATTTAAATTTATTTCGCAGATCTGCGATTTGGACAACCTATTTCCTCGATTTATTTCACCAATTTCTTATCAATGGAAAGTTTTGGTTTTAATTATAAGATAATTCTAGTGAATCTAAATAAATTACCATTACATGACTGGGATACTCATGTAAGAAATCAAGGGCATCATCACCCACCGATCGCTTGTCAAATCACTAAACTCCCAATAGAGATCTATATTTTATATTTCAAAATTTATTATTCTACAATAAATTTTTATTATACGCTTTCATTATTTTAAAATTATAGAATGATAAATATGAAAAATTATATATAAGTGATTAATTGTCCGTGGTCAAACGATGGCACGAGTAAACAAGACGTTTTGATTTTTTAGTATATAGGCAATCGATGGATGCTATGTATAAAATTAAAATTAGTATCACTGTAGTTTTGTAATAAAAAAAAAAGTATCACTGTAGTTTTCAGGCTGCTACTATCAGTTTTTTTTTTAATTTTAATTCAGAGTTTCTCTTGAAAAATATTTTTAATCAGCTCCTTTTTAAAGATATTTTTTGTACCTTTTAAGTATGACAATATCATTCATCAAAAAGTTGGCCTCTTCTAAATTAGTGCTCAACTGATGTGAAGGTGTTTTTGTTATTACTACCTCTAATTTCAAAGATAAGTAACTTTCTGAAGTCTCATGGCCTAAAATATAAGCCTCATTTTCAGTCAAAAATCTAAGATGAAGCCGACAACTTCAGCCCCTCTGGTACTCCTTCAAAGGTCTCTCTCTCTATACCTCTCTCTGTGCTGTATGTGGGAATATTTTATAATTTGCGAAATTTAACTAAGTTCTGGATACTGCAATATTTTGCATTTCATGTCAGAAGAAGTGGAGTACAAAAGAAGGTAATAAAGACACAAATATAATTCTACGATAATCTTCAAAATTAGTATACATCGTGCTCATTAATGATGCTCAGTTTTAGTAGTGTTTGTTTGGTCCTGAAATTTATGATAAAAAATAGAAAATCCACAAAATGTAGGTTTTCATTTCTCCTGACGTTTGTGACAAAAATTGTAATAATCTTATATATCCTGAGCTGCTTTGGAAGTTAGAAAGAGATATTAGTAATGACTGCAATTGATTTCCTAAGAATTTTTTTGGGGGGGGGGGGTTCTGTGCTAGCTAGAATGAGATGGTTTTGTTTTGAAGTATACTGTATGGAAGAAGAAATAAGAGCTGATATGGAGAGTGATAATTAAGTGAAGCTGATGGTAACCGATTAATCAGATAAACAGCAGAAGAGAAAGCATGAGCCCAAAATTTGAGAGGCAAAGAAGCGTGATTTAAAAGTGCAAGACCAGATTTAACTATGTGCCTATGTTTGCGTTCAACTGATCCATTTTGAGCATGGGAATAAGGACAAGTGATGCGATGAATAATTCCAGAGGATTGAAGAACAGAGTGAAGAACTTTAAATTCCCCTCCACCGTCGGTTTGTAAGAATTTAATTTTAGTATTAAAAAAAGTCTCAACATGCTTTTGAAAAATAGAGAAAACAGAGGACACATCAGATTTTTCTTTGATAGGATATAGCCAAGTAAATCATGTGAAGTCATCAACAAATGAAACATAATACCGAAATCCATTCAAAGATAAGACAAGAGCAGGGCCCCAAACATCACTGAATACAAGAAAAAGGGGAAGAACATGACTCTTTGCTTTATTACAGGAAGAACAAGACACAAACTGAGACAGAAGGCTGGGAAGAGAATACTGGGAGAGCACCCTGCGCACAATCCTATAAGCTGGATGACCAAGTCTAGCATGCCACTGATCAACAGATGTTTTGACTCCAAAGCTAGCTTCAGGTGGCCGAGTAGGAGCAGGATAGAGAAAATTTTCAGTTGGTCCTTGTAGAAGAACTTGTTTGGAATGAAGATCCTTCATGAGAAAATGGGATGAGTAAAATTTGAAATAAACAGAATTGTCAAGGCAGAATCAGGCTACAGAGAAGAGATTCTTGGAAATAGTGGGTACATGTAAGAGATTAGATAAGTGAAAGTTTTTATTGGGTATAGAATAAGTACCTGCACCTTGATTAGCAATAGGCATGGAATTACCATCACTGATGTGAACTTGCTCCCGACCCTTGTAGGGCTCAGAATGAAGATTGAGATTGGATAAATCCTGGGTCATATGATTAGTGGCTCCTGTGTCAAAATACCAAGCATTATCGGGGGTAGATGAAAAAGTAGAGTAGTGAGCCTGAGGCAGAGAGTGAGGAGGTTGATGGGTCTGATTAGAGTAGTGAGCTTGAGGCATCGTTTGGTGAGACTGATTATAATAGCAATTTGATGCTATATGACCGGAGCGTCCACAAATGAAGCATGGGGATTCAAAATTACCACCATAAAAATTTCGTCCTCCGTATCCTCGTCTACCTCTTCGTCCAAAACGTCCTCTGTTTCCAAAACGTCCAGCCTCCCTCTTCCACGATAATGATAGGAACCACGAAATACTTGCTGTGAAGATTTAGAGGGTGATTTTGTTACAGCGTTGGCCAAAATTTCAGGTGAAGAGGATGAGTAGACATTAGTTAAACGAGCTTCATGAATTAATAGAAAACTCAGCACCTCCTCTGGAGACAGCGAGTCAGTGCGAGTAGTAAGAGAAGCAACGATAGCTTCGTAATCAGATCCTAGACCATTGAGTAAGCAAGTAATGAAATCAGCATCGTCTATAGTTTTACCAGCAGTGCTTAGAGCTTCAGAAATCAATATAGCCCTTTTATAGTACTCAGAAATTGTTTCAGATCCCTTTTTCAAATTGGTAAGTTGATTATGCAAATGTAAGAGTCTAGCCTGAGATTTCTGGGTGAAAGTTTTTTCAAGAGCAGCCCACATGGTACGATCAGTCTTGTTTTTAATCACCTGTCCGATTAAGGATTCAGATAGGGATGAGATAATGACTGACAGAACGAATTGATCTCTCTGGAACCATTTAGTGTATTCTGGATTTGGTTTACCATCAGATAGACAAGACGGTGGAGGAGATGAAGATTCTTCAAGATGAGAGAAAAGGTTTTGCCCATGAAGATACGGGATCATCTAGGCTTTCCAAATACAGTAATTATCATTATTTAATTTGATTGAAATGAAATGAGAAGGGGAAGAGGGATTGGGATTTGATCCCATTAATGAATAATTGGAAGGCGTTTCCGCCATGAGGGAGAGCTCAAGGCTCTGATACCATAAAGAGGTATTGAGACCTTAATACTCAGAAGAAAAGTATTGTATTTTCTATATTGAAGAGTAAATGTACAGTGTAGAATATATAGACTTTAGTGATACAAAGAAATGGGACACGTAGCCCTAAACAGAAAGATCTAGAATGACTATACAGACTGATGGGCTAGAAAACATAAATTGGGCCTATAACACATTGTCTTCAGTCTTGGGCTTCAATCTCTTTGGATGGGCTCTAATACAAGGGCTGTTACAAACCTTCTCGAGCCATTCCCTGTTAACCTTTCCGGGCAGAAGTTGTTGCAGTTCTGCAGAAAGACTCCCCACATGCACCTGCATGTGGTGCTTAAAAGATTTTGAATTTGAAAATTGAGCATCACAGGAGCAACAACGCCAGGATTTCCAGGTCTTGTTGGCCTTAACGTAAGCCCAGGCATTTTCTATTAATTTCTGCATTGGCTCTGACTCGCCCTGAAAATACCGTGTGATTTCATGAACGTTAACCACCAGAAACCTCTTTTTTGAATCAGCATTCAGCGAAATCCAATGTGAAACGGCCAAACATTTTCCTTCAGTCTCACTTCCCCTGTTCTGAGATTGGGGTGACTTCCTTTTAACAAACAATTGAGCTTCACTTTTTTTTCCTTTCAGCCCAGATTCCTTAATCGTCTTTCCCATTGTCACCTCTGAAGACAGTTTGAACAGTGCGCCTTTGACTCCGATTCGGATGGCTTTGATTGTTGAGCACGGAGCTGAATGACTTCTTGGTGATGAAAAGTGTCCTATATTAGAAGCAAGAAATCATCAAGAACAAACATCTTGAACTTAAATTTCCATGGTGATATGGTACATTGATATACGAAGACTCTATATAACCCTATGAGTGCGTTTGGTACAGGAGACTTGGAGGGAAAGGAGAAGGAAGGGAAGGGAATTTTGCTCCCCTTCCCTTGGTTGGCAATCCAAAATTTGTAGGAGGGGAGGAAAAAGTTTTTCCTTAGAAAGAAAAAGTATATTTTTATCTTGACTAAATTGTCCATAATTATTTTTAATATTTTCATCCGGTCTTTTTGTCTTTTTGCCTCATCTTATCTCACCCAATTTGTAGATAGTTATATATTTATTTGTGTTCATTTAACTGTCAAATTTTTTAAAAAAGAATTTTTCAATTAAAAATTATTAATGGAAATTTTAAATTAAAACATTAAAAGTTTAAAATTGTATTCGAGAGTCTACTCTGACCAATATTAAGCAAAAATTGTTAACTAAAAACCTAACAGTTAACTAATTATACTAAAAAAATTTTAACCGCCAATGCGATAAAAACTGATCTTTCTATGAGTTATGTGTGGGAGTGTGTGTATATTAATTTTAGTTATTATTGTGTGTATTTATATCTTATACTTATAATATTTATAATTATTATGGTGTATATGCTGTAAGCATGATTATAAATGATACTTTTATATACTATATGTAATTTATCCCTTTCCTCCTTCTCCCTCACCTTCTTTCCTCACTCAGTTCTCTCTCCCCCTCTCCCTCAATTGCGCCTCTCTGCCCATGCCCTCCTATCTCTCTCCATGTCTAAGCCCACATTTTTCTTTGATGTGGCAAGCGTTGCAAAGTCAAATGGATTAACTATCTTCAACTTAATCTCAAGCAAGGCAACTTCACTTAACAAGAAGATGAGCCCACCGTTAATCTTCACAACCACCTTGGCAACAAGGTTACCTCTTGCTTCATATAATTTAATCCTCCTCCTTTCTCCCTTTCAAATTTCTCTCTACAGTGAAACTAATACATGATTCTCATGCTGATTCCTTAGACGATCTCTAATTGCCACAAGGTTACTGGGAATTGAATAGACAATGAGATTAAGAACTACTCAAACATCCACATCACCACAAACTCTACAGTCATAGTTTTGACCGTTTAACGCTGCTACTGCACCTACTGTTGATAACGTTGATGTTATTGATAGCTAAGTTTCGCTTAGTGACCGGCTTTAGTGTCATGGTTGGTCGCAAATGATTGAAGTGTTTCTGTTACAAGAGATATAAAGAAAGCAGGTGGATATCAATGTATTAACGGTGTTTTTACGAAAGGACTTGAACCTTTGGCAAAATAAAGTGTAAGAATATAATAAAAAGAAATAAAACAAGAAGGATCGAAACTATAAGTACTAGCAAATTAATTTTTTTAAACCCAAACTTTAAGATTAGGTCCAATCATTTCAAATATGGACTAAAGTATTTATGAACAAATACACATTAATGTGGGGACACCTTGGTCCCTGGCACAAATTTTTAACCAAAATTTTTATAAACCTATTGGTTGAAAAAAAAAAAGTGAAAGATTTGGTTAGAAGTTCTTGTTTGAAAATTTTATTGGCTAAAATAATCTAAATTTAAGCGAATGTAACTATGATTTATGGGTACAACTTTTCTTTCATTATGTGCAATATATTATTAATGATGCACAACAATCATCAATACGGAAATCATTTGCATACAGTACAAGATATGTTACACACAGCAAAAGAAAAAGTTGCACTCAATAATCATAGTTGCTTGTACTAAAATTTAAATCCTTTTAACTAATAAAGAACAATTAATACGAAAGTCATTTACACACAGTGAAAGATATGTTACACACAGTGAAAGAAAAAGTTGCACTCACAGATTATAGCTGCATGCACTTAGATTTAGAAGATATGTTACACACATCAAAAGAAAAAGTTACACTTAATAATCAAAGTTGCTTGTGCTTAAATTTAAGTCCTTTTAACCAATAAAGAGCCATTAATACAGAGTCATTTACACACAGTGAAAGATATGTTACACACAACGGAAGAAAAAGTTGCACTCACGGATTATAGCTACATGCACTCAAATTTAGATCTTTTTAACTAATTAAATTTTCAAACAGGGATTTTTTTTTTTACCAAATTTTCCAAAAACTAACATCAGATAATATCTCTCTATATTTTTAAAACCATAAAACTCGCATTTTAAACGAAGTTTTGGTCTAACCATTTTAAACGGGGAGTAACGTATTTATAATTTATAAATGAATACGAAATAATGCGGGGCATCGTGACGTGGGCCCTTCCCCCAATCTCTTTCTAAAAACATAATAAATATGCTGGTGAAAAAAAAATTAACATTAAGTTGTATCTTTTGTGCTTTTTAAAAGAACTAAAAAACAAAGGTTTTAAAAAGAACTTTGGGTCTAATAATTTCAAATATGGAGTGAAGTATTTATGAATAGATAAAATTAAAGTAAAGTGGGGCAACCTGACCCCGCTGCCAATTTTTTATAAAAAAAAGTTATAAATATATTGGTCCAAAAAATAAAATATCGGGTCATATTTCCCTATATTTCAACAGAACCACAAAATCTAGACATTAAAATGAGTTTTGGGTCTAATCATTTCAAGGATGGAGTCAAGTTTGTATGAGCGAATACACATTAAAAATCCACTTGCATTAATTAGCACTACTTTTTGTCCTAATTATAAAATTTTGTTTATAATTTATAAATAAAATTTTATAATTAGAACTAGATGTAATATGTATTTATAAGTAAATACATAAAAATACTAATGTGGGGCGCTCTTACCCGTCCCTCAATTTTTGCCCAAAATTTTTTTACAAAACACATTGGTGCAGAAAATAACATTGGGCCATATCTCTTTGTACTTTTGAATAAGACCATGAAACCTAAACTTTAAAAGGCCCTAACCCTACCCGGATTCTAAAAATTCGCAATCAACTTTATTGTCTCTTTTTTGAGAATAGCCGCAGTTTTTCTAATTTTCCTCTGAAAGAGTTTGAAAAGCGCGCAACACTGTAAGCATTTGACTATTTTACTTGTTGATCTTCACTTATTTTTCTAGTCAGAAGATCTTCACATATTTATTTATCGATTTTGTTATTACCTATTAGCAATGTAAGAAAAAAATATTTAAATTTATTTTATAGATCTGCGATTTTTACGATCTATTCCCTTGATTTAGTTCAACAATTTATCATCGATGGAAAGTTTTGGTTTTAATTATAAGATATTCTTAGTAAATCAAATAAATTACCATTACATGACCTAAATATTCATGTAAGAAATTAAGTACATCAATGATCAGCCATAGATCGCTTATCGATCGAATCGCCCAATACGATCGCCATATATCTATATTTCATATCTCAATTTTATTTTTTTTAATACGAATATTATATTTTTAAGGTACACTCAAAAATTTTTTATAATTATAAAATGTTAAACATGAAAATTGTTCTGTCAAAAAAAGCATGAAAAATTGTATATAAATTCTTAATTGTCTCTTTGGACATATCGCACAGGCAAATAAAACGTTTTGATAATATTTTGCTATATAGGCAATCCATCGATGCCATATATGTACTCCGTAGGTTTCAGG